AAAAAAAAAAAAACTAAATTTGCATAATTTTATAACTAAATATCATAATTTAATAAATAATGTAAAAATAAAAAAATGTATGATGTTTTACATTTACAATATAAATATGTATTTATAATTAATTTTTTTTTATGTTTTGCCTAATTTTTGATAAATTTTGGGAGGTGAATGTAATCCCTTCACACATAAGTTAGTGCATGTTTGGCTATAAAATTTTCAATAAACTTCTAATCACTTTTAACTAATATTTTTTTAACTCAAAATTTATTTTAAGTCTAACTCAACGCAACTCGATTTATTATTATCAATATAATTGAATAATAGAAATCAATCATAATTATACATTACATTAATTTTAATTCATTATTCACTCGCACGCAATGTTTTAATTAGTTATTACTTCCAATCACAACTCTCTTATTTTTAAATCAAATACTCCCTCCTATTCATAATAAATGTCGTTTTAAGAAGTTGCACAGTTATTAAGAGTATTTTTTTTTTGCCAATAATAATCCTCATTAATGACGATAGAGATGAATGGTTTGAGAAAAAAGATGAAGAGTTAATATGAAAAGACGTAGTTATTTATTAGCTAAATGAGGGTAATAATGGAAAAATATATACAAAATATTCAAAATAACATTTATTTTGTTAATAGTTGATATTGTCAAAATGACATTTACAAAGAAGAGGAGATAGTAACATTTACTCAAATAACATTATGGTACCTAAGAGCGCTTGGATGAGATGGTTTGAGTCTCTTCCAGCTTAACCAGTGGTCTCGTGTTCGAGCCCTGGGAATGCAGCAGTGTTAAAACTTTTGAGGGAGAGCTTTGCCGCCCTTGTGGTCCTACCCGGCTTGATTCCGAATTAGGTCCTACCCGGCTTGATTCCGAATTAGTCGGTTCCACTGTGGATCCAGAAATCGGAAGGTCCCTGTACCAAAAAAAAAAAAATAACATTATGGTGAATTAGAATTAGACGGGCCCGAATTTTGGCAAACATCCCTTATTCCCATTTTAACCTTGCGGACTTTCCAGTAAATTTCCTCTGGAGGAAGGGTAATTTCGTCTATCGATAAAAGGTCCGATGTAGAAAGAGAGACCACAGCACAGCCGCACAGGCTTTTTTTCACCTGATGGCGGTAAGTTTTGAACTGACCGCCAAGCTTACTTTACTTCGATCGGGTTTTAGGGTTCTTTCAAAGGCCCCAATTCCCAAAATCACTAGCGCACTGCAGGTACAGTGACTGATTTCAGTAAAAAATTTCTTATTTGTCAAAGTTGTTGTTGTATGGATGATTCTGTGATCTGGTCTGACATAGACGTGTTTTGTGTTATACGATCTACGGCAGATATGGGTTTGCTTGAGGCTTCGAGGATAATGAGGGTGTTCATCTTCTTGTTAATGGCCGCGATAATTCATGTTCACGGTTGGGGGAAAGAAGGGCACTATGCTATTTGCAAGATTGCTGAGGTGTGTGTGTGTGTGTGTGTGTGTGTGTGTGTGTGTGTGTGTTAAAAATCCCATTTTTGGGATGTTACTATGTATTTGCTTGTGTTTTATTTTCACCCATTCAAGATCAAAATGAGTTTGGTTTTATTGGTTTATTGATAGTATTTGGTCTGTGATTATTATTATTGGTGAGGAGTAATTTTGATCCTATTTATAGAATATAGAGATGGGGGACATAATTCACATGGATATTTTAAATCTTGTTTGGGCTGCTTTGATGGTAGTCTTTACTTTTTCCCTTTCACTCGTTTAGATTGTTTTCTGATGAACTATTATGAAAATTTGATATTCGAAATGTTGTGAGTTTTGGGATGTTAGAAAATGGCTTCCAGAATTTTTCTGTCGGACCCAAGTTGAAGAAATACGAAGATGAAAAGCTATTACTGCTCATCTAAAAGTGCAATTTGAAGTCGAATAAGATTCTTTATGGCCTCAGTTTTGGACAATGTTGTGAAGTATCTTGTTCGAAGCTTTTGTCCATGGAAATCTGATTGGAGTGTCTTTTTTTGTTACAGAACTATCTTACCGAAGAGGCTTCAGCTGCAGTCAAAGCATTGCTTCCAGATCTGGCTGAAGGTGATCTTGCTTCTGTTTGCTCGTGGGCGGATCAGATTAAGTTCCACTACCGATGGAGTAGCCCGCTGCATTATGTAGATACACCTGATTTTAGATGCAATTACCAGTATTGCAGTAAGGGGGTTATTTATTTATTTATTTTTTAATGGTATTTTTGTCAATTCTTTTACTGAAATTGCTCTATGGAAAATAGAATTACCTGTTCTCATACTTCCATGAAATGATTTACCACATCAGTCGTGGCAGTGATTGCACGTTACATTTGTGTCCCGCTTTATCCACTGGTTTTTATTTAAAAGTTGGGTTCGATTCATATTACTCTCTCTTTGTTTGTGGCATGATAAAATGTACCTATTTCTTCTGGTAGAATCTATGTCATGAATATTACTTTTGTTTCACCTTTTACCTTGCCTCAGCTGTGTTGACCTATGTTCGTTTGGACTTGAGTATAGGCTAATTTGGAAATAGAAAATGAAAATGTATACTAATTGAGAAGAGGATCTATTTATGCATTTTTAAGTCTCTGTACTTTTGCAATTATCACTTTCTTGATATAATGTAGGGGACTGTCATGACTCTCACAGACGTGAAGACCGGTGCGTAACTGGGGCAATTCACAACTACACTCAGCAGCTAATGCCAGAACAAGATGACACCAATTTATCAGCCGCCAAATGTATGTATCAAATTTAAATGTGCTGGTTTTTTAATCATGATAGTTGATAACTCAATTTTCCCAATTACAGATAACCTGACAGAGGCACTTATGTTTCTATCGCACTTTATCGGTGATATCCATCAGGTCAGATAAAAAGTGTAGCGTGCCGATATTGCAAATATGCTATCAATTATCACACTATCTATGAATTCATTTCATTTTTTTTTTCAAGTAATGGTTCCGGGTAATTTATCAGGTTCACAATGTAATTTGGTATGCTAATTTATTCAGCTTTATCATATCTTCTAAATGCAAGTTTGGTTTGACAGCCATTGCATGTTGGCTTTATCGGAGATGAAGGTGGGAACACAATTACCATCCGTTGGTTCCGGAGGAAAACTAATTTGCATCATGTGAGTTAGAAGTAAAATTGCTGTAAAAAAATTGGTGCATCCGTTATGCTGTGCTTTTGTAACTTGTTCAGTGATTTGATATAAATCTTTGGTAACTATATTCGAATTATCTTATTATAGTTCATTGAGTTATTTATAGGTGTGGGACACCATGATCATTGAATCTGCTCTGAAAACTTTCTACAACAAGGATCTTGCAACCATGATCCAGTCTATTCAGAACAATATGACGGTATGCAACATGAATTTAGCTAATTTTATTGGTGATTGAAGACTTTGTTGATAAGTTACATCACAAAGGCTATATATTGAAGCAAGAAAGATGCCTGAGATATTCAAAACATATTAAAGTTTTTTTTTTTTTTTTTCCAAGAAAGTAATGCATCATATTGTGCAACTGCAAGTATTTGATTTGGTGACTCCTTTCCCCAAATGTATTTATAAAGAAACGATGATGAATTTTTTTGACATTTCTTACATTCGTTATTTATTTTGTGTAAAAGATTTAAATTCGTATTCTGTTACTCTTTACGATTTTGTAATGTCTAGGATGACTTTATGTGGTTGTGTACTTATCGCGACTGTTCCTTTTTACCCCTTTTAACTGCAAGTAGGATGCCTTTGTTGACACATATTCTAAGGAAAATTGCAAGGGTACAGTTTGTCCAGACCCGTAAGTTTATACTTTTTAGTCGGCTTCTGCTTCCGTTTCCTCTCTGCTCCACCCCTGAATTTCAACAGGCACACACACACACATTATAATGGGTTTTAATTTATTTTTACTTTTTATAAATATCTACACTTTTCCTTTTTTTTTTTTGGGTTTTTCTAGGGTATGCTGAGTTGATTAATTGTGACGCGATTGTGTTAACTATATGAATCCCCTTTGCAGTTATGCTTCCGAAAGCGTCAGTTTAGCTTGTAGGTTTGCTTACAGAAATGCCACTCCTGGAAGCACATTAGAAGGTATACAATAAGTAATAACTTCCTCTAACTTTTGCATTTTTTAATGAATTCGACCTTTTGAGTGTTTTTTTTTTTGTTCTACCCATTAAGCCCGAGCAATTGAAATCTTCAGAAATAAATGGTTTTCCTTTTCATGATGATAAATTGGATAAACTCAGTTAGTTTTCCTCTTATTGTTAGCTCTTACCTGAACACGCAGGTTTTGGCAATATGCCGAGTTAGGTCTTGTTATTATTCTTTTACATGGTATGTATGCTAATAATTTTATATTATTTTGATTCTTGTTTTTTTTTTTTTTTTCAATGCAGATGATTATTTCCTATCTCGGCTGCCAGTTGTCGAGAAGAGACTGGCCCAAGGCGCTGTCCGTTTGGCTGCTCTTCTTAATCGGATTTTTTCCGGACACAAATCAATTGCCATTGAATGATTGATTGATTGAGCTGAACTATATATTTATTTGGGGCCCACTTAAGGTCCATCTTGGCATAACCATTTGTGAAACAAAGTGTAGTTGATTGTTCTTGAAGGCAACATATGCTGAAAAGCTAAGATAACTGTTTCGTACATGTCTTTTACTCACATGAGACATGCATAGTTTGCTTTGCTCTAATGTTTGCTTTTACTTACAAGCAACTTATTAAAGGGCAACTGAAAATGTGACCTGAAAACTATAGCTTGTAAGCATTGTAAATGTTCCAATAAAATTTTTCGTGCATATATATATCGAACAAATTTTCATCCTCATGCCATTGTTGGATCATATATTGTCCGATTCTCAGAACAGTGAAAATGTTACAATTACGAGGAATAAAATATGTATTGCTCTTTGTTATTCTCTGTTTTTGTTTTGTTTATGAACCATATGTTGAAGCATGGAGCAAGGAAGGTCATGCCATGACATGCAAAATTGCTCAGGTAGACTTTTTTTCCGTCTGTTTCTTTTATTTTCTTTAATTTATCAAATCACAGCTGATATATATGCCTTATTTTTGTATTTCTTTTATTATTTCATGAATTGGGGGGGAAAAAAGAAATTTTTGGAACCAGAAGCAGCACATATTGTTCAAATGCTGTTACCGGATTATGTTAATGGCGATTTATCTGAACTCTGTGTATGGCCCGATCAAGTAAGACATTGGTATAAGTACCGTTGGACGAGCCCTCTTCACTTCATTGACACACCTGATCAAGCCTGTAATTTCAAACATCAGAGTAAGTTGAGATATCACCCATTATTTATCAAATTATTGTTATTATTATTATGATGATGGATGAATTTAGGGGATTGCCATGACCAAAATGGAGTTAAGGATATGTGTGTAGCTGGCGCTATTCAAAACTTCACGAGTCAGCTTTCGCATTACATGCATGGAACCTCCGATCGACGCTGTGAGAAATTATTTTCCTTTTTTTTTTTCTTTTTCTTATCTTAGTATTTCCTATTTTGCATGAGTTTTGATATTTATTTATTTTTTTTAAAGAAAAATATACCCTTTTACAGTTTTACTGGCATGGAACCTCTTATCCTTGCTTGCATTAGTTATTTATTCCATTAGAATGAATTTGTATATCTGCTTGAAAATCACAGATAACATGACAGAGGCCTTGTTGTTCTTAGCACACTTCATGGGAGATATTCATCAGGTAATTATCTTTTAATAACATAATTTATCGATGAACAAAATGTTGTTTTTACTTTTTGACTCTATTACGTCAGGTCGAATCTGTTTCTCTTTGTGTTATATAATCCTTTTCTTCTTCCCGCTCATTGTTAGCCGATGCATGTTGGCTTCACTAGCGATGAAGGTGGAAATACAATCGATTTGCGCTGGTTTAGACATAAGTCCAACCTGCACCATGTGAGTATTTATCATTTTTTTTTTAAATCACTTTATCATGCTAAAATTATTCGTAGCTTGATAAATTCCCGTTAAAATCTTCTATTACATTTACGCGTTTCAGGTGTGGGATCGAGAGATAATTCTTACAGCTGCTGCAGATTTTTATAATAAAGACATTAACCTCCTGCAAGAAGACATCGAGAGAAACTTGACCGATGTAAGTAAAATATCAGTACACAACCAAATATGTGAAGTATATATAAATTCTTAATTTATCGTTAAACTTCAAATTCTACGAACAGGGCATATGGTCCAGTGATCTTGAGGCGTGGAGGGAGTGCTCGAACGTAGTTTCATGCGACGACAAGTGAGTATCAATTAACAAGTGTTAAATTTATCTTTTTTCTTCTAACAATAGATTAATTTTGAACTTTATTTATCCACACAGGTATGCAGTTGAGAGCATCAAAATAGCTTGTGAATGGGGTTATAAG